AATTTCCGTTGTTACCGTTCGCGGCAACAAGTAGTCGACGTTCATCAGAAACTTCCTCGGTTTCGAATTTCTATATTAAACTGTTCAATGTGGTGGTTATACGCATGTGTATGTGTCTCCACGCGATTCAATAGTGAAAAGAAAAAGAAACAGAAAAACATGAGAAAATACGAGCGACGTTTATAACATCACAAGTATCGGTACGGGGCGAAGCTTGTACGAAATCGCAGATAGAACAGCATAAAGGCCAAATAACGACACTACATGCTCGTTTTTCGGCATTTTTATAATTACTTCGAAGAGGACAAATATACTTTCTTACTTGCAGAAGAAGCATCGAAGCGGCGTTTCCACATACACATACACACTCTACACACACCTTTATCCTTTCTCGCTCTCTCCACACACGAAGAGTTTACCGTTGACGCTTTTTTGCTTCAGGAATACAATATTCTTCCGCTTCTTCCTCGTCGTCCTTGTCGTTGTCGTTCCCCCTTTTTATTAGACACTATTAAACATACATATGCGCAGCGAATTTATCGTCCGAATACGTATCACCGGCGAAGTACAGTATGCAAGTAATATTCGAAGGCATTTTGTTCGGCCCCCCTGAATTATTCGTCGAAACCAGTAGTCACTACATGTGTGTGTGTGTGTACGTGTGGTATTATCACAATTTTTTTTCTCACGTCTCTACGCTTTCTACCATTAATAGCTAAACAAAACAAATACACGTTAATTATATATATAAAAAAAATAATCATAAATAAATCTTCCGAAAATAATCATCGATTCCTTCTTGGAAAGGATTAACTCATTCGACAATCAGATAGTTTTGCCGCGCGAAAAAAAAAACAAAAAAAAAAGGAACTCGAATATTACTTTACACTGCGTTTTACACCCCACAAACGGGAAAAAACTTTGGCAATATACTAAAAACGTTGGCAACAAAATCCTCGCTCCGTTATCCTTCTTTATTTTTCCTTCTTTTTTGTTTTCAGCTGGGCAGCACAGCCTTTAACCATATACACGCAACCATACTCTGTTTTCTATAGTTTTTTTGTTTACACGCGCCAATCACTCGCGACAGACACAATCGTTCCACGTCAAATCGATTGCTTTGTACCCTTGATGTTGGAAATTCTTATAAAACTGAACTATTATGTGGTCCACGGGAAATTCGAAACAGGCTCAATTAACATCTCGTTAACAACACCGGATCGATTTAAAAGATTGCAATTTTTTCAATTTTCTGCGAACAAACTAGGTATTCAAATTATTAATTTTTATTTCCAATATGAAATCTCACCAAATTCTTCAAAGCTTTCTCTACAACAGAGATCCTTTTCCAGGAGAGGTACTGTACTTTATAAAAATAAATTCGAATCAAACAATATAATGAATCGTCCCACCGCTAATTTTACGCGAACCACATCATACCTGAATTTCATAAAAATTCTTAACGCCGGATGCACGAAATGATCGATGTGGTACGGAACGACCCAATAGTTTCTGCTTTCTCTCTATAATCGATATTTAATAATAATAATAATAATAGTAGTACAATAATAGATAAACAAATAGTTTCATTGTAATTGTTAATCATTAATCAATAATAGCTATTAATATATGTACATACAGCACAGAAAAACCATCTTACACTCAATAACAAATTGTACAGTGATACAAGGCTAACACTGAGATCGTCGGACACTTTTTCCTTCTCTCAATTGTTACTTTTCGTCTCTAGATTTTTTCCTTGATATTTTTTTCATGCAATTTCTTCTTTTTTTTCATAACGCTATTATCAACATGCCCGCGCCGATAATCGAGTATTGCCTCGAGTGGTCGTTGCCGCCGAATATAGATAAACATTTTCTTGGCTGGAGTATGAACTAGTGAATTTAACACGATGAAATTGAATGAAAATTAACAAGCCTTCAGAAATATTTAAATAACTCGTTCCGGTTAGAATAGTTACACAACACGTACAATCGTTTTGGGTTTTTTGCCACAGTTTTCAAGCAAATTACAATAAGCGGTATCGTCCAGATCATGCAGCGACCGAATGTTAACAATGAAAATTATAAAAGTTCTTCACGCATTTCACAATTAACAATTCAAGGCAGGGAATATCATCAATTATCTTTAAAATTAATTTACATCAGTTACGTATCAACAACTCAAACGAATCTATTATCATTAATTCATATAGCTGAGAATCAGATGTACAGGAACGATACGTTTTGTTCAATTAATTGATACGAAAGAGAAAAAAAAACCCATCCAATGCATCCAATTAGGATTTTGTGCTCTTTCACGCGAAGCATACATTTTGTTACAATACAAGCCACAAAGGGTTCACAGATAAATGCAAATAGCCTGCTGTTGAACAAAATAAGCGTGTTTCTTTATTTATGCTCAAAACGCTCTGAATCGTGAACAGAAAGACAGGTTTTTTTTCATACATGTTTCCAAATCTGTTGATCTTTGTTGTTTTTCGTTCACAAATGCAAAAAAGAAAAAGAATACGCATGTTATTGCCTTGTATGTTAATCTTTATACCTTTTTTTTGTTGTTTATTAAGAAAAATGAATCAACCTTATATCCCAAATATATGACATTATTCCAGCATAGCTGCCATTCAACGCTCATTATAATACACAATTTATGGTCCTATTTTCTTCAAGTACTTCTGTGCTACTCTGCAAAAACATAGTACCTGAGCCATTTGAACCGGTCAATGGCGCAAGGTCGACACTGCACTCTACTACTTTAAGCTGATAGAGCACCTGACTTTTGAATAGTGTTTTGCACATTGTAATGAAGGTACCCCGAAGAAATGTCATCCACTTCAGATAATGATAAAATTACTATGTGATGTAATAACAACAAGGTCTTCCGATTAAAAATAGTATTAGTCATTGACGACTATTTATCTGTATTTTCAGAAATAATTACAGATTACCGTATATTCAAAAAGTACTCGTTTGATCATGAAAAACTCTTTATCATTCAACTGTTAGTATTAAAATATAAAAGTATATATTCTACGTATAATAGAGATAGACCACATAATGTAAAAAAAAAACTGTAAAAGCAAAGTTTAATGCATCATTGCTGACTAAGTTGTAAACACACTGACGTGAAATTAGACAGTATGTACGTTACAGTGTCATTTTATTGAAAATTTATGTAAAAAATTTTCACCTTTCATCTAAGGACATGGAATGACGTTCTCTTCGAGGCATATTCGTATATGCATTGATATTTCCTCTTTTATACATTAAATACCTTAATTTATTACTCATCTGAAAGCTGTACCCCCAGCTGTACTACTGATTTATTACTGGTGAAAAGGAAAGATATCAACAGAGTTTATTTGCTTCTTCTTCATATGTAATTTCGTTATTTTTGAAAAAAAGCAATAACAAAAATCGCCAATCTTAATTTGTTAATAAAGATTAATTTTTCATTAATAATAATAATAATATAATAATAATAATAATAATCTAAATAGACAAATACACTTTCATTCTTTTACATGAACCTTGTCTCTGGTAATCTCTTGTCGTTACCTTCGACGATGACAAGTTTCCACACTTCTCTCATTTATTCTTTGCTGAAAATGTTTGAATTGAAGACTACAATGTAAATTTATCTTTGTTCCATTGTATTGTTTACCTAGCGAAAAATAAAATATGTTGATGAAAACAATTTCCTGCGTTAACAAATAGAATCATTGTAAAGGAATTATGTTAAGTCCATTGTTTTGATTAACTATACCCTCAAGTTTTTCTTTATCATAGAATATCAATCATAAAGTGTTTAGTTACTCAATTCAAAGAATAACACAATATCATTAAAGAAGATTTTAAGGAATTGAAACACAAGTTCAAACGCAAATTGAACATCAGCCAGTAGAAGAGTATTTCTACATGAATTGCATGCATTCATACCGTCATACTTTATGATCACAAGCAAGTATTTTATTATAATTATCATTACCAATAATTAATTGTTAATTATTCATTAAATAAGTGAGTCTGTGTAAAAATTTAGCGTTTTCGACACATTCGCACTCTTTCTCATTGTCTTCATCCAGTTTTTGACCTTGAGCGCAACATTTGCAAAAATCAGTTTATGATTCTTTCGTTTTTTTTTCTTTAAATTTCTTATACTATTATCTGTCGCAGCTGGAAGAAGTAACCACTCCATAAAGTTACAAGTCAATCACACTATTTTTAATATTTTACACGTGTTCAATGTCACACATTCACCATTTTTGTTACACTTCACACATTACAGCTTTCTTCACTTTTTTTACGCTGTCTCAAATAAAGTACGTTTAATCTAGCAACCACTATTTCCATTTCAACCTTCCTAAAGGTTCGATGAAGACTCACTGGCTGTTGTAACAATCCGTGTTTTAAGATATCATTTAAGATCATTCTTATCTTTCGACTCTTCAAGATTGTTAGTAGTATAGCAATAATTTTGACAGATGATCTCAATTTGGCATAGTTAACATAACAGGCTTCTTTCAACTATTCATAGACTTTATTACAAGGGTCTCTAAGGTGTATCTGTTATTTTAAAGGCATCAGCATAAACCACTGTCACAGCACATGCAGTTCTTGAAAAATCTGCATCATGGCAATCTCGTTTTAGTTAATTTAAACCTTCTTAAATAGTATCTGTATTTTTTCCTTTTCAAAATCGTACATCTTTGTTTCGGTTCGAACACACACTTTCCAAATGTCTATACAAAGCATACTTGCACATGTATGTCTTTCACATTTTTTTTTTACAAGGAAATTTTGTTTTCGTATTTTGAAAAAGCGAAATATATTTCGCATGATATTAGATCGTGATTTTCAATCAAACATTGTATTAGATGTCAATACTGAAACTTTGATGTTGTTACAACCTTTTCGAAGGTATTCGTAACTTCATTGTATGTACAACAATAGGACATACAATTTATAAGCATTGCCTTTTCGTGGTGATTGACTATTATGTACATTATCTTTCGAGGCACATTTTGCACCGATTGGCTTTACAGAATTATCACTGATGATTTGACTTGAGATTTAGCACAGCATGTTTTACTTTGATCGACACAAAGTTTTTATAACATTTTGACAAATGTTCAATCATTTTGCTTGCATTTACATACATATTCGGTTTTGTGTCGGTAAACAAACTCTGCTGGCTGTTTATATTTAATAGTAGATAATAATGCAATAGATGCAATCTTGCAATATAAAAACATTGTTATGTTATTTACCCCATGTTCTTAGTGCCCATTTCACTGACCACTATAGAATTGAATGCGACCACTTGCAGTTACTGGCATTTCTCTCATAACAGCGTCCCATGCTAAAACAACAAAATTAAAGTAATGAAATACTTTAGTTTTTAATAATCCATTAATTTTCAGAAATAATACAAAGAAACACTACACTTAATAATTTATTGCTTCAAGAACCTCGAATGATTTCATTAGAGTCAATTGGGAATTTTGTAGAAATATCAGAAAATTATTCTTTCTATTACTAATTCGACACAGTTCCAAACAACGTATCTGAGTGTTAACTACTATGTAATAGAATATGAAAGTACCCAAAGAAATTAAAAAATGTTCATCAGTAAATTGACGAAAACTTTATAAAGAAAAACAGAAAATAATTTTTATGTTACATTAATAATTTGAAAATTGTATAGCATTGCAATAAAATTCAAGGCACTGAATGTAATTATTAGATGGGTGCTTGTCGACCGATTCCTAAAAATGGGAGAATTTATACTTTTAAAACGTTGAAAAAAAATATCAGATATTTGCGAGAAATTAACCCACAAAGGTAAACGTATCAATAGAATTTGTAATCAATAATTGTGCTTTCCATAAACATTAAAGTAATCTAATAAAGTAATTGAACAGTAGAATGAAATTGTTATTCGCTTACCTAATCCAACGAATGATACGATTTTATCGTGATTGTATGTTTGTATATTAATGTCTTCTTCAGGAGCTACGTAAAGCATAGAAAAATCTTCTTTAGGTTGATGATATTTTTCTATTATACCCGGCGGTGTAGGGGGTGGTGGTAGACACGTAGGTGGAGGGAATCTTGGAGGATAACCCATGCACGGTAACCGTTGCATTATTACTGGGTGCATTGGTTGTTGTGTCACATGAATATTTGGTGGTTGCATAAAATTAGGAGTAAATTTATCACATCTCATGTGTCTTTCAAATATTGGTGGATATCTATCAAAATTAGAAGGTGGCTTATTTATAAGTGGTGGAACTACAGATGGAAAAACTGAACTGGCAGTAGAAGTCTCTTCGATAGCAGAATCTTCAGACAATAGGAGCTGTTCATTAATTTCGAAACCAAACCTAAGTTCTGTTGGTAAGTCGTTGTTTTTAGTAATATCAGATGAGGTCTCATCCAACAATATGACCGCGGGTCTGGATATTCTTTGCTTATTAGATATCTGAGATTCCGTTTTTGAAGATTGATCTTTATCCGCAGCAGTATTTAGCTGCTTATTTTTACTGTACTCGACATCTTCTTCTTGGTGGTCCTGATTCAAATTCACAGAAATCGGATTTCCTAATTTAACCGGCTCATGTTTAATATTACCGCTCTGTTCTTTTGTAATTTTCGTTAACTTTTCATTCTTAATCAATTTAGTAGTGCCTGAATCGGTAGTCTGTCCTTCTTGAGACGATTTTGGAGTATTTTGAGTAGTTGTTTTTAGTGCTTCGTTATCGTCAAATGATCCCGTTCCTTTATTCTCAGGATGCGTACCAGAACTTTCGGTATTATGTGACTTTTTTACATTTTCATCGTGTTGGGAATAAGTAGTTTTTTTAAAGTGTGGATCGTCGTTTGTTGCTTGATTTTGTATATTCTGATTAATCTGAGGATATCCTCGACGTGTACGAGAATTACTGCATTTTGCATTCGTAACCGGATCTTTGTTATTAACAACGCTGCAATTTGAATTATTCTCAGAATCTGAATTACAATTTGTGATTGTATTTGCGAACTTCGATTGTGTTGGATTCATGACTAAAGTCTCGTTAGGATTTCTGCCATGATTAATAGAATTTGCATGTTTCTGTTCTTGTTGCGACAAATTCTGATGCATTTTCTCAATATCTTGTACATATTTAATAACTTGGATATTCTTATTGATGGCTTCTTTTTGCGCTTCTGCCTTTTTCCTTTCAGTCGAATTTTTCATCTTTGACGACAAGGTCGGTGAAGGTGGTTTGTCAAAACTAAGGTTTAAAATATGATTTGTATGGGTGAAATTATGTTGCTTCGTTTTTCTATCCGAATGTTGTAATTCATCTAAACTGGGATAATAATCTTGAGGAATTTTGTCTGGTTCTGAGGGTGTTTTGGGTGGCACGGTAGGCCACGAAGATGTGTTCAACATGCTCGGGACAATCGAAGACATATTTAATACCGAACTGTGTGTCATATTAATAGTTGCCATACGAGCTATATCTGCGTAACTTGCCTGCGGCGTACCGCCTGAGGAGGTAGCTATTTTCGATAAGTTGTGTTTGGACGTATTTGATGTGACTGGCAATGAATGAACAGAGTCTGAATCGCTACTGTCCGATTTGTCGCTGCAAACGATAATTATTTTACTAGATTTTATTAATAACTTTCTAATCGCAAAACGATAATTTATTTAATTTTCTAAATTTTTTATCGCTACAAGAATAGATTTGTGTTGATTACCTTGGTGGCATGCTACTTGCTGACTTTCTTCTAAGTTCAGGAGAAAGAGGTGTTCTGTATTCATTAGAAAATCCTCTGGAATTCTGGAGATATGATCCGGACGTTGCCAAATTTTGAGCTCTACTACCACTGGAACTTCTTCTCTGCTTCTTACTTTTCTTCTTTTTCGTAACTACTAGAAATTCTGTTTCGTGTTCGGTCTCTGGATTGACTTTTTTATTGGAGTTTCGACGACTACTATAATCATCTCCAGTATCATTGCAATATATAGACTGACCTTCCTCAGTTCCCCAGGATCGTCTATCACCACGACTATCGATAGCAGCATCTCCCGTGCTTCTTTGTTTCGCACGACGTAAAGCAACATTAATTGTACCTATTGAGACAACATATAATATTTCAACTCAAACTCGACGACGCTTAGTATTATTTGTATATTTGAATGTTAATAATTTTGGAACATAAAACTGATGTACAGAACCTGATGTACACAGTCTGATGTACTTACTGATGTATAACTTACCATGTTGGCTTGATAAACTACTGGCACCACTAGAACTGACACTTTTTTCTGTTGTAAGATCTTCCAGTTTAGTTTTGGATATTTCTTCAAGTGAATTGGATTTTTGTAACTTGGCAGGCAACTGTTCCCTTTTACTGTCTTTTTCTCTACTCCTCGGTTTTGCTCCAGAACTAGTTTTTACTCTCACTGGATTACCTGGTTTACCTTTTTTACTTTTCGATTCCTTATTTTCAATAAAATTGATTAAACTATCAATGTCTTCGTTTCGATGACCTTCAACGTTTTCGGCTCTATATACAATAACGTTGAGATCTTGTTTTCTTTTAAATTTCTTTCGTTCTACATTATAGTTTTGCACTGCATTTCCATTTTCGTCCAAAGACTTTTTCTCCCCAGATGCTGTTGTATGCGCTGTGTACCTGGAACCTTCTGTGCAAAATTTACATATTTTAACTTGTTACAAAATAATGTTTGAAGTATGTACAAAAAAACGGTAAAAATGATGTTATTTTGCTATATTTCTTATTCAACAGAACAATATGTATGCTTCTAATTAAAATTAAAATGCAGTATCAACTTGACTGTTATTTACAGTTTAATAATTATATATTTTCTGTGTAATTTCATTAATTCAATTCAGTACTATTATATTTTATATTCAATAATTTCATGTGTCACCTACCCATTGTGATATTCTGAGTTTGTAAAGACGCAGACATCACGGAGCATAAACTTGGACCCACTTTACCCTGACTAGTGCTAGAACTGTTTGAGGTTCCACCAATACCACATTTCACACTATTAAAAGTTTGAAAAGAGAGGGTTCCAGTTACTTCTGTACCATTAACAGATATTTTTGATTTATCTTGTTTTCCACTATGTTCTCGGAGAGAAAAATCTATAGTAGTATCCACAGGAGTCTGAGCTATATCGAAAGTAGTACGTGATATATATTGTGGTCTACGTGGTTCAATGATTTTCATTTGAATTCCATCATCGTCTTCTGTATCTAAAGAGTGAGCTCTCTGAACCCCAGCTATTGTAGATCCCACATTCCTTTCACTAATGGTACCCACCTAAATAAATGAAGAAAGAGATAAATTGTAAGTCTCCCTGTTTATTTTCAACTGTCACATCTTCATTCACAATCTGTTATATTTGTATGTATTTAATTAAAATAGAAAGTTTATACAAAAAATTAAAATTTTACCTCAGCATCGCCTAAGTCGATCACCATGTAATCTGACTTATATTCTGGTGGTGGATTATCTGACTCGAGCATTTCATTTGTCCCCTGTTTCCCTTTGGTACCTCTTTTGTCACGCGTGTCAAGCTCAGATTCACACGAATCTTTCTTTATATCTTTCTTGTCTTTTTCTTTTTCTTCCTTTTTCACACTTGTATATGACGGTTTATCTAGGGATTTAGACTTTTCCTTATTGGTCCAGTCATATACTGTCCTTTCTTCACAGAAACCCTTCTTTACAATCAAACAAAACAACCACACATTTGATTACATACCTTATAAATATCATTTAATGTACTATGTATTAATTATGCAATGCACAAAACAGATAACATCACTGGTTCATATAATTTGCATCTTTCTTTTGTACTCACAAAAATGTACTTTCATTGGATGCAATGTTAAATGTTATAGTTCAGCTAGTCTAGCTCTCTCAGAAGAAAAATGCAAAGTAAAGTAAATTCTATGTCTTATTTGAAATTATGGTTACTATTTATATCTCTGAAATTGTTACTTAGTAAAGCACAAAATTACTTTAGAATTAATTTTATTAACTTGAAATCAAAATTGGCCAACATACATACCTTTTTATCGAATAGTAAGTCTAAATTAGCCAATGAAGCCAGACTGTGTGATGCATTTACATTTGAAGGTAACGAACCACCTTCCCTTTGTCTAGCGGATACACTAGGACCTGTATATTTTTTATTTTTTCTTCTACTTCCTCCGTAGGTGTGGCTAGAACCAGACGTCAAGTAAGCAAAACTACTATCAAATTCTGAAGCAATAGGTTGCGTCAAATTTTGTAACGATCCTCCGTGCGTAAGCCTTTCTGATACAGAGTCTCGTTTATGCCTTCTACGATTTGATCCAGGTAAACAACGTGAATTTGTTATTATCCTACGACCTTCTTCAGTCTCATCGGCTTCTGCTTCTTGCAGTAGCTCCTAATACAATTGTTTAATTTATTAATATAAGAATGTCTTAATATATAACTATAGGTAAACCAATCTACGCTTACTTTAAACAGACTTGATTTTCCTTCACGATCTTTGGGACACTTATAAGTTATAGCTTCATCTAGTAGCGCACGTAATTCACCCTCATTTAATGTGGATAAAGTAGCTGGTTCTTCCTGAAAATGACAATAAGGAACAAAAATGTTAACATGTATTCAATATTAAAAATTAATGGTAAATTTGTGTATATATAAAGTATATTTTATATTAAAAGGGAAATAAGACTTTAACCTGCATAAAAATTTAATAAATAATATATTAAACACAATTATATGATTTTATCCATTAAAAGTACACATCAGCAGAATAAATTGGTGTTCTTATTGAACAAGAAGTATTATATAAGTCTACGATGAATTGACAATATTGTATATCTTCACACCAAATGTATGTTTCTTATTATACAAAATATACACATGTATACAGAAAACAAAAACTACTATAAGAAATTCATTGTAAATATGTTAGTCATGAATTTTGTACTATGTAATATATTTCTGAAGATTTTGTTTGTAACCTATACACTGTAGAAGAACTTGTTTTGAAATCTAGATTCAAATATGGAAAGTATGCCAAGAGATCAATGCAAACTGTAGGAGTAAACCATACGTGGAATATACATTTAACAACTTGTTAAGGAAAGAGACATTAATAATGATGCGTGTACATTCATTTTCTAATTTTCTTCAAATAATAATTTTTTTTAATATAATAACCTTATACATTGATAAACTCTATCTACCATTAAAGTAAAAGGTATATGAACTTTTTAGTAGACTTCTTACAAATTATTTTCAATAATGTAAATATTACTTGAAGTTTAAAATCCATACAAATCCTTTTCTTATAAAAGGAAGAAGCAATATTTATCATTTGATAAAAAATAAATTTTGCTTTATAGAATTCTACATTATTAATTATATTCGACATCATAGTATAAACTAGTCCACTAGGTAGATAAGCATGGATATAGATAGATTCAGTGAGAGAATTTAAGGTTTCACTTATTGGATTTTGTGAAGTAATATAGGTATCACATAGAAAAAAAAGGTATATTAGAATAAATGATACACACTACTGTCATGATTAATACTTTGTATGCATGTACATACATATCATATTTCAAATGTTAATTAGTACAACTATTATATACACAATTAACTATAAGGTATATTTATCTGTAACAAAAATGTACATGTTTTCAATTTCATTAGTATTTACTTTTAATTAATGTGTAGTAATAACATATAATATTGCTATATTGAAATATACATAGCTGTTTACATAAGAGTAATTAGTTCACAGGTTTTAGTTTCATCTACTTACAAAATACAGTATACATACTGCTATGAAAGAAACATATCAGAGTAACCTGATTAACTGCATTCAAAGCAAATATCTTATCAGAATGGCTACCTATCTAAAAAAAAAAGTAATTGACTACTGCAGACTTTTTTGTTCTTTTAAAACAATACACAAACGTCATCGGAAAAAGCATTTATATAGGAACGAATTTTCTTGAAAGATACATGTAAATGCTGAAAGCGATAGAGATTGCTCTTAGAATAAGCCGTTTTTACGGAGATAACACAACCTTTCCGAACTTATTGACCGTGAATTATTATACATACAAACGAAGCACTCTATACACTTTTCGTACATAGGTTAACGACAAACTGTTATCGTTCTTAAAAAAAAAAAAGAAAGAAGAGACATTATCATACGTTTCGCGGTGTTGAGTAACATGCCTTGAAAGGAAAAAATACTTGGTTTCGTACGAACAATACAAACCAATCATCTTTGAAGATTCGGAATGCACTGTTAATGAATACTCGCAAGCAAGTCCTTGGAAATGCGAAAAGGATAGCCAATACGAAGTTTACCTTTTCTCGTAAATTAAAATAGGACACACACCAGGAATGAGTTTGGGCTTGTCCAGAGATCGATAGGGGGTTCGCGATTAGCTAATTGAGACACGAGGAGATACCGGGGTGACTTACGGACGAAGGAAAAATCTGCTGGGCAGTGCCGGCACGGAATTTATATTTTTAGAGGGCACCTGGGTCGGCTGCAGTCGTCTCTGCTCCGTCGAACTGCAGTCCCGCAGTATAGCACCGTTACGTAGAGATTTTGCGCATTTGAGTACGCTACAAACGTAGCCGACGATATACTATCACTGTTTAGAAGAAATAATATCGGCAGTGTCAAAAATATGCCGCCGATTTAAATGCTATTATGACGAGCGGGTGCGGCGCGCTCTTCCCAGCATGGCCGCCGCCATTACATTGAGAGCACGGCCATTCCAGGATCGTAATAAGCAGGGGCCCCTTCATATCCCCATTCATTATCCTGTGTCAATCTAAATATGTGGGTGATAGAAGTATTTCAACTTTATCAACTACAATGTGCAACGAACGGAATATGTAAGTTTCATTGAAATTTATGGAACCAATAATTATAGATAAGTCAATAGATTGTCTTCATAAAAAATAATTTACCTTTATAAACTATTTCAAATAAGAAATCTATTATTATTAATAGAGCTTTGTACATTCGTTATTGAATAAAGGTAATAATTTCAGCTGTAGTATAAAATAATTTAAAATAAATCATTATAAATTGTAAATATCATATAAAACTTCTATACACAGCTCTTATTTTTCTTCATAATTTAAGTACAATTATACAGTGTTAATAATTATGAAACAGTATTTCGTTTTAAACTATATGCAAAATCATAAAAGTTTTCTTAGCTGTTCAATAGCAAGAAATTGCTATCATACGATTAATACTTCTTATAATGAATGATAATAATTTTATAATTACATTTAATGATTACCTATATTTAGTGTAGTACATCTCAATTTTTTAAAAATTTATTCTGCAATTTGTGGTAAGTTTGTGCACAAAGAACCATTACCTACTTTTTAAAAGTTTTTCATTTTGAATAATTGAGGTTGCATGTAATTTTCAATGTAGCTTACATATACATGTTCATTACTACATTTTTTAACTGTAATTATTTAAATACTTTTCAAAATTATTACATATCAGATTGCTGTATCCATAGATTTACATATAATTATATAATATATACATATGATTCAGTTCATTTGCATTTTTCTTGTGTATTCACATGAATGTCAGAGGTAGGTTATAGCTGGACTATGACTTTTAACTAGTAGAATGCAATAATCTGAAGACACAAATCATCTAGGATTATTCTCATGCATTACTTTTCAAGAATCTAATTCAATGTATTTTATAATCCTTTTCCTTGTTTTTGTTGTAAGCTAATGAAAGTGAACTATATAAGACATTTAGGTTTATGTCCATTACATTTGGGGATTCAAACATAAAATAATAAATACAGAAAAGATATTGTAGAATCGAATGAATAAGTGTTATAAATTAAATTCATAATATTTAAGACATAGTCTCCTAAACGTGTAGAAAATCATAGATTTTTTAATTTCATGTATTTCTAACATTCAATTTATAACAGAAAAAAAGAATACTAATAGTTATATGTATCTGTTAATATATAAATTCAATTCATATTGGTTACACCCAGTTGAATTACATACTCAATTGTCCAAATATTTGAGATAAGAAATATTTTGTGGAAAAATTATCAGCAATAGATTTATATATAAATAATACTGTAAGTAGTGATTATAACGCAAATGTAAGATATTTATACACATTTTGCATAGTAAATAAATTTTGTTTTATATAATATAAATTATGTATGACTTGGAAATTTAATGACAAAAAATACATTATAAAATTCATAACAAGAGATAAAAATTGTTATGATGGACTGACAATGTACAATTTTAAAAGTAACAGTATTAAATGATTCTAGCGCAACGTATTTTAATTACATTAATACGTCTTATTTCGTCTCTGTTCCCACAACATTAATAGATCAATATTAATAGATGTTACGTAGTGTTAAAGATTAAAATTTACACATTTACTGTATATAGTTACTTTATCATGTCTAATATTAACATTATACCTTTAAAAAGTTAATCTTTTCTGTTGATGTACATATAGTTTTCATACTCAAAGAAATTTTGTCTATACAATTGAAGAGTTTTATATAAACATAAAAATGAATTCATGTAAATATAATTAGAGTCCAATGTACTGAGAGATTATGACTACGCTGACTATATCAACTAATATATAACTCACCTGCTTGTTATCGGAGGTAACAGAAGTTGGTGCACTATGACTTGTTGAATCTGAATTGGAATCAGTATTCGTTGAAGCACTTTCTGCACTTAAACTCTGGTTACTAATAGTCTCAACACCTACCACTAAATTTTCAACATCTCTTTCATTAGTGACTTCACTACAACTGTTTTCAGTAGTTTTATCGGGTGCAACCGGTTCCTGACGATGTTCCGGCCCTGGGGCCATTTTGATCGTAATTGACAGCGCTGTGTCCGCCGTACTCATAGCTTTTTCATCGCTTCTCTTTGATATTTTCAAGGTCTAACGACCCGGTCCGATCAATCACAGAGAATAACTTGAAATTCTCGTATATCATGTCATGTAAGCTTCTTTGATCTTCTTTGTCGCCTACTAAATCATCACGATCATCACGTCCGAATATGTAGATGAAAGCATCTTTCACTGTACTAATGTCACGTTAGGTTAAAATGGATCGGCTCAACCGATCACAGATTTATAATATTTAATGTAACTCAAAGAACCATGCACACAAATAGTAGTAATTATTTTATCGAAATTATAAAGGTTCAATTGAAGATCACCTCGACTTTACGCGCGTACCATGCGCGATGCGAAGGTGACAAAAATGGCACCGTCCACCACCTATTTAGTGTCGTGTCTGTCGTTCAATCAGATTAACTATCGTATTTTGATCATCTTTTTCGTTCAATAAAGTCGGTGTATTTTGAATTAGGTTGCCAGTTTTCATTTTTATATGTCAAATTTGAACGTAAAATTTATTTAATTTTTTGATAATGAGAATCCTTCGTTGTGAGGTTATTTCAGATCGGCTTGTCAGCTTCCACTACAGCTGTCGATAAAGCACGTCCTATATTTCACCAACTCGAAAACTATTCTACGTTGGATGTATCAATGATTGCAGTTCGTTTACTGCGTGTTCGTGTTACACTTTTATCAGGCAAGAAATGCAAAACAATGAAAATACCAATTCCGGTTAATGTTCTGTCTTATTATTGATGTATTCGTAACATGAAATTATTGCTTTTTTTGTTAATAACGAAACAAAAGAACCATGTATTTATATTTTATAGATTTCCTTCGATGTCGAGTGACAATTTTGTGCAGTTACAATTGGAAAGCAAATTTAAATCGTTTGATTCTTATCGAGTACATAACAACGAAGGTACATTAAACCATTTGATAAAAATGAATGGGAATGTTGTATGAAGCACTTAACAAGATTGTATCTAAAAAATTATAAATCGTAAATATCTTTGGTTGGCATGTGAAATTAGTTTTGCAGGCATTTGTGATTCTTAGAAAGACGTTGAAGAAATTCCAATTTTGGAGTGATAAAGTGAGGTTGATAATCGCCGTAGTTCGCAGCACTCATAAATTCAAAATGGCTGCTGCCAATATTAAAATGCACAATTTTTCACGTATATTTCTACGTAAAATTTGATTTTGTTACACTAAATGTAATTTGCTAGTGGCGTTGTTCCAACCGTGCACGGACGGAAGACACGAAAATGTATTTGTACATAACAGTGACAATGTTCTGGCATTGTTCATGCATACACTGAAAAGTATATAGTTCGTTTTTGTCACTGTTCCGTTGTGCATGAGCCTTGGAAGACACTGAAATCACTTTTGAAACATTTCACTGACAAATAGAAACGTTTCATAGAGCTACAAGTAGTCTGATCGGATCATTGAAGCGTATTCCAAAATCGTCGGTGAATTATCGATCGGATAATGGTACTTCTGCTTATACACTTTCACACGGAAATATAAAAATCTCCAATTAGGTTTTTCATCGAGGCATTTCATTCAATAGCAAACAAAATATTTTGTTACTGCAATTTATTTCAAATACAATGCCAATTGTATTCGATTGAAAAAAAGTAGCCCACCCAAAACTTCATAGCACTATGTCCGATTCGCCTGTACAGTTAATCAACTTTAACACTAAAACAGTTCGCCTCATTTCACATTATTTCATGGAAATCGAGCTTAGTTCATCGCATCGGAAAGAAGTTACAGGAAAACTGACGTAAACCTGAACAGATAGTTTTCTCGCGACACAATAAACGATCGCTTTTGCGCAGAGAAACGACGGACCAATCGTTTAGCTTCCGAAAATGTCGTCTGGCTGCAGGAGCGTAACTAAATGTCAAGCTGTTTACAGCAAGTACTATTTCTTAATCTTTTTCGAACAACTGTTACTAAAGTCACACAAACAGATTGTTAACGATGAACAATTGTATTTTGAATCATAATTTTATCCTTCCAAGCATAAAATCGTTCCAACCTTAAGATTTTAAAATATCATTGAATATTTGCAAAAAAGAAAGAATAATTTTTACTTTTAAGTTCATTCACCTATACAGGAATAATTTTTTGTAAGAATCGTAACATATTTTCTAATTTGTTATCTTTTACAAAAATGTGATTATTCAGAACCTTTACAAATCTTCGTTAATACAATACTGTTGTGTGACTACTCATGCGTCACCCGGATCGATATATCTCGAACTCGCAACTATGATGCGATATGATCGTCGATTCTACCAATCCATTGACGTTATATGTTGTCTTTCGCTTCTTTACAGTGGTCAGTGGTTTAGATTAAATAGTCGAGAACACTGTGCTGAACAACAGTCAAATAGTCATATGGTACGTAAGTTAAAAATAAAAGATAAATATTTGACACAGACGAACACAGATAATAGATAAATATTTACATTTGGTTACAGATAACAGGTAGCATTACAAATATATTTCTCAAACAGCGATAGATATTTGGTGGCGGTAAAATGACGGAGTCAGAGAACATTTTCTTATTTGTGCCCAACATTATCGGTAAATAAATAATTAGCATTCTCGTATACTACTCGCGATTTATATCCCTTACATAAAATAAATGTTTGTTAGATGAATGTAATTAAAGAATAAAAGAACAACATAATGTTTACGATACGTGCAAACTTTTCTGGTATATGCAATTTCTATTCACAAATTGGCAATAAGGAATAGATGTTGTTAATTATAATATTAAAATATGTATGTGTCATTATGTGCTTAGTTTTGTGTATTATTATTTTATATCATAAAGCAAATTTCTCTATGATAATATCGCTAATGAAACTTTAATTGCACTATAGAAATATTTTATATGGCAGAAAGATTTTTATAATATATATATTACTATAACATTCTTTAGTTGGAACATTTGTGTGAAATTCTTATTAATTTTGTTCTGCATTACTTTTTGTATTGCCTGCATATATATATGTTATAATAAGAGAGTAAAAGCAGAGCACTTCAAAGACTTCCTATATCGATTCATAAGAATCTATGGATTAAGTCTTTTATATAACAAACTAATGCATTCAAGACTTTTTCTCTCTGATGATATACATATATATTGTAAGATTACTACAAACTTAATAGAATATATAGCATATTTACAAAAATACACGTTAAATGAAAAGCAACTAAATAATGAAGAACATAAACATTTAGATGTATGATATCAGTAATATTATAAACATAATAATACATGTATATTAACAGGCTATGGTAGAGTGATTCTGGCTCTCGTGTCTTTTTATTTTATGCCAACTAACCACATTATTGCATCATGGTGCTACATTATTAGTGCACTATTGGATGCAGTAGATGGTCATGCAGCTAGATACTTTAATCAAGGCACCAAATTTGGTGCTATGTTGGATCAACTAACTGATCGTGTTGGTACTATGTGTTTATTAGCGACATTATGTGTACTTTATCCATCATACACATTTTGGTTTCAATTAAGCATGGCAATTGATATTGCTTGTCACTGGATATACTTGCATAGGTAAGGTCAAATGTTAATATAGATATTTTAATAGAATATACACACAATTATTGTAACTTTTACATGAAGATATAAAATAACAAATATTTTCTTAGTGTATGATTATGTATTGCAGCTCTCTGTTACAAGGAAAAATAAGTCATAAATTTATTGATATGTCTGAAAACCCAATTATGAGAGTGTATTACAATAATCGTACAGTCTTGTTTTTTATGTGTGCTGGTAATGAAGCCTTTTATGCTGCTTTGTACCTGATTTACTTCACCGAAGGACCTATTTGTAAGTTAACTTTATTTTAATTCAGATACTTATCATTGATATTTCAATTTCTTGATGTATTACAGATAACATGAACTTTGTTTCAGTGGCTGGTATAAGTATATTCAGATTAATTATGTATATCTCTGCACCCATTGCATTCATTAAGGCTAGTATCTCATTGTTACATGGATATGTAGCTTGTATAAATTTAAGCATAATTGATCTGAAGGAAAGACAAGTACTAAAAGGAAATAAGCCATCACACTCTGTAGTATCTCCAACTTGTGCTAAACGTGATTAAATTGATCTTCTTAATTTATTATATCTTACACTTAAATGTTTACTTCCAGCTCTATTTTTATAAGTTAATCCAAAGATCAATGTGCCACATTCAAAGCTAGACTCTTACTATTTTAACGTGACATAGATATACAATGCCATTCACTGTTTAATTTCTATTTTAATAAGAACAACCATGCCATAAACATTATGTGTTATATTCCAATATAATTAAGACTTAATCTATTAAGGTACTTATCAAGTACTACTTCGAGATATATCATATTAAGATGTGATTCAATTGACTGTTTTATATTTTTGAATAGTATATATAAGTTGTTAAATTTTTAGAAAATTTTCTGTAGAGATACAAAAGAATGGTAAAGAAATTATTATAATTGATAATGTTACTAGTCTCAAAATATTTTAATACGATCTAACAAAATGTACTTGATATTATTTTGTTTGATATATTATATATTATAGTGATATATTTTTGTTGCATTTCAATGTTGATTATTTAAGAATATACCTACAACATGAAAACTTGGTTTGGAAGATGTAAAAAAGTTAAGAAGATATTTAATAAATATTTTTGTCCCTTATATATTATTGGCATTGTCTTTATTTTATCATAAGCATTACTACATGGTACATTATAAGCATATTATTATACATGAATAAAGTACATAAAACGAGTTACCACTTTAACACACATTAAAATATATTATTAGATATTTGTTAATATGCACACATGCTATTGTATATTTATACATTCACCTGTTATTGTAATGATAATTTCTTGATATTATATATTTAGAACTGTTACTATTATGTATAGTTTGTCAAAAAAACTTCGATATTCCAAAAACTAATATGACAGCAATGTAAAATGATTAAATAATTGTTAATATGGACACTTTTATTCTCTTGCACACAATTTATCTACATAGACTGTTTTTACAAAAAATTTCATGAAAAAAGAGCAATGTAACAAATCTAGTAAATATCAATTGTTTAACGTGATTCATATAACGTACCTATTATTGTTATTAAGATATTTTGCTAAATCATTATAAAAACAATTGTTAAATTATACAATGTGACACGTGTTTCTGCAATAATAATAAAGTTCTCTCAAATATACCGTACTCATGTTTATTGTGATATTTGTAACAGTATTGCAATTAAACATAACAAATTTACGAGATGCGACAATACTCCATGACAAAATGATTAACTAACCTCAAAATTTTGATCTTATTCCCCCGTCATGACCAGTCATGTTTCGGCGCCATGTTAACACTTCAAACATTCGCGCATGTTGAAAAGTTCAGATAATTCACGTGAATTTCTTCTTGTCGTTAAACTAGCTGGAACGAACTTTTCACTGTCTACAATTATTAAAATCAACAGAAACGTCTCACTCAAACAACGTTTAATGTTTTCACTGCTTTCGGATACCGGAAACAAAGTACAATATTTATAAAAACAGATGAGAATTCTTCACCGGCTTACTATGGGATGATTCGCGATACCACAGCGCCAATGTCGTCAGCTGCGTGTAAAATGGCGGTTTTTCACTGATATTTGAACTTGCGGATAACCGCTATATCCTGTGTAAGATAATTATAAACTCCGTAACAAGCATGTATCGTATTTGGCTTTATATACCCAGTTTCAAGTATAAAAATTACAAATATTTTAGACATTAGTCTATTGATTATGTTTTAGTTACACTATAAAAACTTGTACTTTTCAGTATATTAAAAGTGAACTATCAATATAGTGGGTCAATTTTTAGGCATTTTTTCTAGAATCTCAATTTTTAAAATATTTGCTTGTATTAAATTTTGTACGTAGTAAGTCACTTATTGTTTCTTAGTATGTATTACGCAGAAATGTTTAACGTATAAACGTTTTAATACCACAAATATGGTTTGCTTAAAAAAATTTTTAATAGTAGATATTTGTTGTACTAGATATGTTGAAGGTGCTAAACGTTAAACTACAATCAGTGATATTTATTGTATCTTTATTTTTCAATTATCAATGTTTATAACAGTAAAGAAACATGTACTGGTATTCTCGGACGGCGGTGTCTGATTCTACTTTGATCCATAATTTTAGTAACTTCACACATCATTTCAGCTTACAGAAACGATCTAAAGTACATATATAGTTGTTCATATTAGCATTTTATAAGAAAACTAGCATATTTTGAAGAAATTCGTTCCAAGACACAACTGGTATCGTCATCTATACAATCATCGAAAACAATGATTCGGGGGTTAAATATAATACGTTCTCAGTACAAAAATATTATATTGTAGTTAATCTATATAATACATAGATCTGTATATGGCAAGTTCTGTATAAAACGTGTGTTATATACATTGCATTAACATGGAATAACTTATTTTAATGATTTTACAATGTTAGAAAAATAACGCGTGTCATAAAAACAAACACAAATTCACAACTTTCATTGCAGGAGAATATTAGTTATAAAAAAACACAGAAATTTTAGGTCAAACAAAATGCAGTAGAACAAATTAATTACTTACAGTGGTTTATTATTCTCGTAGTACATTTATTAAATTACCTTCGAAATTTAAATCTGCTCTTGAAGGATAGAGTAGTTTCATATTACCCTCCATATCTACTACTTTTATCTGCTCTACAACTAAATTATGATAATTTGTAGTATTTTCTTCTTCTGAAGGACATCCAAAACCGAGTGTGACTAACTCCTTTAAAAATTGGTCCAAAACATTTCTAGAAAAATATAAAATTATTGTATAAATGAAGCATATGTTGTGATAAATGTTTAGAATTTTAAGACTAATGTGATTAAATGCTAACTAAAATAAAATTATAAATGCTTTTTCTCGATAACTTTACTTGAATATCAAAACTAGGTATGTATAAATATGTATACATTTTTAGTTAAACATAACTGTACCTGCAAACCTGATATGATGTAGCACTGGTTACTTCCACCAATATTGTTTCAGTATTTACTGACATTTTTGTTACATCACTATTGGTGATCGGTGGAAAAGATATAACTTGTTCTGAGGCATCCAATAAACATGGAAATAAAGGTTTACCTTCCAACAGGTAAAGATATTTGTGAATGCCAGAGTATACATTGCGTTTTTTTTCTTTTCTTAAATTGTCAGCTTCTGTTTGTAATTGTTGAAATAATGCGGCTCCAGTATAAATGTTACTACGCATTAAAGGTCTGATTTCTAATTCAGTTGGTGGTTTTGCAGTATATGTTAAATCACCTAAATGTTAAATATAATGTTACTGAAACATGTTTTTACAAATATTTATTCCCTTAATTTCTATTATATTTACCAGGTTTAATTAATTTAAAATCATGTGTGGCAATGGTAGCTACATTTCTTTTTTCACATATTCCATCATGTAATTTAGTTTGAAGTTGAATGAATTTTTTGAAGCTATCATCTGTGAACTTCATGTGTTTAACGATGCAAACTGCAATATAAGGTCTTATGCTTTTTATATGTTTTGTAATTTTGACTACTGGTGTACTATTTGTCATTTTCAAAACTTTTAACTTATGTGTTAGACTTTCTATTTCTTTAGCAATACTTTCAGATTCTGAAAGTCTCTGAGCTTTTTTCCCTTTTTTCATTTTGGTGTTTGAAGCAGTAGCACCACTAGTTCTAGGGCAATGTAATTTAACATATTCTATTATTTGTTTTGTACGGCACTGATCAACCAATTTTGACAACCTTTTGTCTGTTAAATTATTTCCTTTTAAGTCTAGTTCTTTTACCTTATTACAGTCAGCAATTTCACCTGGTACAACTGTAATATAAAAATTTGAGGAAACTAATCTTTTGAAACAAAGAATATTATAGACAAAACTAAATTGTTTTCTAGAGAAAAATTTGTTCATTCGTTTAAAAACCATTACCTGAAATTGAATTATCGGCAACATTTAATATTTTCAAAGATGGAAGTCGGTTTATGGTTACAGGGATTTCTTTCATCTCATTTCCATTAACATAAATCTCAGAAAGATGTAACAGTTCTGCGTAACATACATCAGGAAAGTTTTCAAATTTGTTGTTCGACAAGTTCAGAACACTCAGTTTAATATTGCCAATTAGAGTAGGTAATGAATTCAAAAGATTTGAGCTTAAGTTCATCGTAGTTAGTTGCGGAAGCCTTCCGATTTCATCGGGCAAAGAAGTTAACTTGTTTCTGGAGCAATCAAGAACTTTTAGCTTCTCTAGTTTCTCGATTGTACTCGGTATTTTCGTAATTTGATTTGAATGTAATACTAAGGTCGTTAAGTTCTGTAATTTCTCAATTTCTGCTGGTACTTCTTGCAAGCATGTTTGTGTTATACTCAAATAGTTTAGATGTTGTAGGTTAAACAGAGACTTGTCGAAACCTCTTTTTTCGATCAGATCAGAAATCGCTTGACCTGACAACACTAACTCATGTTTGTTTTCTGCTGCAGCAGATTTGATCACATTCCACGAATTATCGAGAGTCATTATTATAAATTATAAGAGTAATCTTTTTAATATTAAAGCAATTTCATTCGCGTCGTTCGAAGGTTATTTGCCGGGAAATATACTTGAAAACGTGTTAGGCACTAGTACTGACATCTACATCAGTGATGCCAGAACGTGGGATAAATGCGCGAGCGGTTTTAATTGAAATGAATGTTTATTGTTAAACATTCTGTCAGCTGTCTTATAATGCAAATTGTTATTGTTTATAACAAATATAAATCGAAATATACAGAAACTTTCAAGATATGGACCCTTTAATGAACTTTTACATGTAATAAGTTGTACTTTCTTGCAAACTATTAAACAATGACTATGTCTTAATGTTTATGGCGATTGTTAACTAAATATTATTTAATTTAAATGTGCCTTGGTAGAGTTTTATGCAAGAAATTCGTAAAAATTTGTAGAACAGTAGGAATTCTTTGATCGACGTTTGATTGATATTGTCCTTGACAATGATTGTTACAGTTTTAAAAACAGTTTAGTTTTACTCAATTTGTATGAAATTATTAAACAATAAGTTTAATATTATAATGTTTATAACAATCACATCTTCGGTGGGAGATGTTCAACATTATATTATCCCTTTTACAATGCAAATTGTTAATAATTATAACAGATAGAAATCGAGATATACAGAAACTTGCAAGATATGGATCGTTTTATAAACTTTCACGTGGATTAAATTTTATTTTATTATAAATTATTAAACAATGGCCGTGTCGTAATGTTGGTGGCAATTTTTAACTAAAATTTGTTTAATCTAAATGTGCCTTGGCAAAGTTTTTTTTTTGAATAGCTTGAACTAATTTCATATTTTGTAATTTTCTTAATGACTGCATTCTATTAAATTAATAAGTACCCAATCTTTGTTTTTCAATTTTTCTTAATACAAAGTTGAGTCATTTTTATTGCATGTTAAATGAAAAAGAATCGAAGGATATTGGCCTGTTAAAAGAACAGCAACTAATACATTTTTTCGACAGGATTTTGAAGATAATTATCCCGTGTGTGCGGGAGTTTTTTATTAGGTATTTATTAAATTAGTGTAGTGAACGGGAAGCACCTGTCGCATTTTTTAACACTCTCGAGAAAATTTGTTAACATTAAATAATTAATGTTGCGAATGATAAGTACTCACATCAACAGTGGTACTTTGTTTAGTTTCAGGAATCGTTGTGGGATTAAATTTCTAATTTATCAAAATAAAATATCTATAAAAACGTGTTATTATACCCTTTTATACTTACTATATGTGAACATATTCTTTCGAGTGTCTCGAATCAAGATATCATCTAGTTACGGTTCGCTAATTTAAACTTAAGTCAACATCTGAAGATATCTTTGTGTAAAGGTCATCTGAACATATGTCTCCGCTTGAAGAATATAAGAAGATTTTTATTATTGCGAAGATCACATGGATATTTTTCTTCACGTGACAATCATCATGAGGCTCGTGCAAACTTAAAAAAAAACTCGTCTCGTTGCATATGGGTTGACCGACTGGTAGGCGGTGTTAGTGTGTGGGGGATGGGGGTCGATCTGTACTCAAAGTAGCCTTCTGGAAATAAATCGTGGCAATCGGCATTACGCTCGATAAAGTATTTTAAATATACCAAGCTATTAATATTTCACTTTCCTCGTGAATTCTATACACAGACTTAGTATACGAGATTGATCCGTATACCGAGACTTACCGATCCCTCTGGATTCTCCGGAGAATTCAGACATCGGTCGCGTTTTGCCTTTTTATTAAAATTTAAAATCTCTGAAGAGATTCAATTCTACAATACAAGATGATGTAAATTTTTAATTACATTACATATGCTCATTGAGTAATCTTATAACAAAGTATGTTCCTATATATCTACTGTAGTTTACACTTAATAATAGCTTGGTATTCGGTGCGTGAACGACATGATGAGTGGTAATTCAATTCCGATAATCCCCTTCGTTTGAACGTATGTTTCTGCGTTGCGATTAATGTAAGTTGTTGTTGGGTGTGTGTGTGTTTGACGCGAGTGTACTAAGATTTAAGTCGATTATAACGAGACAAATTGTAAAAGGTTGATAGACGTAGAACTTGGGATTCCGTCTATCTTCCTCGGGTCTCCATTCGCAGCAACCTCCACGTGGTGAGACCTGGGTAATCATTATTATTAGTATATAATTGGCAATCAGAATTATCTACAAATTGACGTACTATATTGTAAATAATATGAGCTAATTGGCTGCGAGCTTGCTTACTTTAATCAATTGATTCTGCATGTTAATTTTTTCTGCTGTTTAGCTACAAGTGGCAAGAATCTTTTGTTCTGTATACGTATAATCTGTTTCCACCACCACAGACGAGGCATAACTGGTAAAAAAGAACCATGTTCGAAGATCTGTATTTTGTAGAGGAAACTTTAAAGAAGGTGGCTATATTATGTTCGAATTTCTAATCGTTCGTCTTCGATATCTAGTTTTCAAAATTTAAATGTCTTGATTTTTTAGTCCTAGATTCTTAGAAACAACTAATTATAACCTTCATTTATTTATTACTCTTGCACTCTTTTTGCTTAATCTTGATGTATGAAATATAAATAATTGTAACGTTGAAAGTACTTGCATGAAAAGTGAAAATCATAGGGCCGTAATAGTTATATGATCTCCATTAGATTGTTCTAATCACACCGCGCTTTCTGTAATGAATAGTATGCGAGTTCAACGTGATACGTGACAGAGTGGGGTGTGCGCACGTGTGTGAGAAATACGTGTTGGCGTGGGATGGTCCCCGTGATCAATTAACGTACCGACAATTATCGAGCATCTACTGTACATTTGTATGTATGTAGATAGCACCGACTAGGTATAGGATAGACCTATCATTTTATGGGACTTCGTGTCTCATGTTCTGAAATACCGATAGTGTAAAAAGTCAGGGATTTTCTGCTGCCCTCTACGTTATGAGAACGGTGAATTTGTGAACTACGTTATATCCATACGAGCTCAAGTACATAGTCTAACTTCTACAGTGTTGTCGAGTTTAAAGTACGCAATGTTGTCAGATTAGAGGGTTCGGTACGTCGGAAAATCATCGAAGGGACTATGTCGTGAACGGATTCTCTTCCGTCCGTTTGCTGTAAGTAGACGTATTATGTAGAAAGGAGTCTTGGGTTCCAGTCCCGACGGACCTATTCTAAACGCTCGCGCGGTTATCCCACGATTCTGGCATCACTGATCTACAACAATTGATGATATATAAATACGCGTGCGTATTATAAACAAAATAGATTATTTTTATTTAGAGGACTTTTTATAATGGTTAACAATGGATTCTTTCTTTTTTATATTTTCCATTACTATAACGTTTTGGAAACGTTTCCTGACACCAGCGAAACTAAACGTCAGAATCTTAAAAATTGGTGGATCTATTATAGGCATAGCATAGAAATAGGATTTCTATTGTCTGTAATTATTGGCGCGAAAATTGAACACGTAGGTGCACATTAGCAACAAAATGATATTTTTTCCGAAGAATTCTATAAAAGTTGTCACTAATAAAATTTAGTAACGCACTATCCCTCTAAATTAATTAATTCCTATATCTAATTGTAACAATATTAGAAACTTGTGAAACATGTACTCATAAGTGTAGTAAAAATATTTCCTTTTGGCATATAGTTGGATAAGTAACAGAAATCGGTTCGTAGTAAATGATCTTGAAAATTATAAAAGATTTAAGATTATAAACATATTCATATTTATTAAATGTGTTAATACTTAATACTTTCTCAACATATTAAACTAAACAATCTTTTGTTAAAAGATTCCAAATAAAATAAAAATATCAAGGAATATTTGAAAGAGAATGTTTTATTTATTTATTTATGGTTTATTTGGTGTGGTCGCATGAACTGTAAAGTCATTATAGCGAGTTAGTTCGTAAAATGTACTTTCAACAAGGCCTTCTTTTTTTCAGTGAGAACTACTAGTTCTACGAAGTAATTAGTATTTTCCAATCATGAATATTTTATAAAATTATTTGTTACCATTCCGATTTTGATAAATAATGGAACAAGATAAATATCTACGAATCGTTTTAATCCTAGAAACAAGAGGGTAGAAGTAATGACCGATTTTCGAGTGAACCACTGTTTATGCAAATTGTATTCACACGTGTTCTAGTAAATGCAAATTGTTGCGTAGAAACAATTCAGGGGACTTAGGGCAACAATTATCTTGTTCGCATAATAGGAAATAGGGTGTCGTAAAATTTATGTTTAGGCAATTTAACCGTAACGTTAGAATAACGCTAGGCTGCGCATTGAACCGGTTTCAACGAAATTCATGTTTTGATATGGCCACGGTCTTATCGTCGAATAACAATTATAGTTAACATTAGCGTAATGACGCACAGAGTTTTATATATATATATATATATATATATATATATATATATAAAATGTTAATGCTGTACGTGCACATTGAAAATATCCTTTTGTAGGATATTAATTATGTTATGCAATATGCACGAGGGGACCGACAGTAAGGAGACAAATGTCCGGTAGTGTATATAATTCATTAAATGCTATTATACAAATTCGACGGAAATGGGGAAACGTGACAGATATTATAAATGATCGTTATTGCGCGCGCGAGAAGAGGTTTATACGTAAATTTCCCAATAAAAAAGAATATCATAATCCATACCAGGCTGAGCGGAATATGAAGGAAGACTTTATTACCGACCTTCGGTGGTCTCAGTCACCGGTGTGAAGGATCTGGCAAGGTCCTCTGGAAATATCCAATAACGGCGATAGAGTCCAGCGAGATTTGCATGTGAATAAAGTGCGAAGGAGGATGTTAATTTTAGTCGGTGTGAAAGAACGTTTACGACGATCTCTACATAATACTTTGATACTTCAAACGGCATTGTCAACCACCGGGACACTGAATTTGTGGTATATGTCCGACTTCTCTTTCCGGGTTCGTAAATATATTATTCACCCTTTTGTTAAACGTTTCTTCTGAGAAATGGAAAATAAAGACAATTCCTCTGTACCTTGTTCTCTTTATATATCGGTAAGTAAAACAATTTTGAGTATGAAACATTCTAATAATACATTCTGTTATAAGCATGAGTATAGAAATTTAAACATTAATGTTACATTACGGTATAAATAGTTTGACACTGCATGATGTTGTTAAATGAAAGGATATACATTTTGGATGTAGATAGGAAATGTAATTTTAAGCAAGAAAAATTAAGTAAATAAAATATACATTTGTAGATTCTTCTTCAAGAAGTTATTGTTATTAATTTTTACCGAAGAAGTTATAGAAATTTTTATGATTGTATTAGAGCGATGATGAATAAACGATCTATCAGTATTTTCATCGATAATGGTATGATTTTATAAGGTTTGCATACATAGATTAATGTGTAAACTACTAAAATTCATTTTCATTCTACGAAATCTAATCTTTATCATTCTAGAAAAACAATCGAAAAAATTCTACTATAATGTTGTAATATAACTATCATTTTTGTGCTGCATATAACTTATCTTAGAATGAAGGTAAATCGAAGTAAGTTCATCTGAATCAATACCTAGGCTTTTCTCATGGAGTTACAAGTTTAATTTAATCAGGTTTAACGACATTTATTATAAAAGAGCCTAATACGTAGTTCGCAATTATGACAGACAAAAATAACCAAATGACTATTTATTTCCCATTAATTTAATAATTCACTTTACTGAAGATTTTCAATTTACTGCAATGATATGAAGGACAATCTAGGACTGCAGTTTGGCTTTCTATCATTAAAAAAGAATTGCTATTAAAACGATTTTTTATATACTACACACTTTTATTGACATCTGTATTTGAGGAATATTAAAAGACAAAGTCTATCGAATACCAATTGATAGGAGAAAAATATTAAGCTTACATTCGAACTACTTTTTTATATTACTTTTTATATTGCTGTTTTATAGATTCCAATTTGATGCTCCTGAAAATATCTTGCATATTCCAGAGCATGTGTTCAAAGTAATCGTAGTTAAGTCGCAGTAAAATAATTATATCGAATATAAAATTTTTTTATTATAAGTTCAATATACTCCATATCAAATAAAATAATTTGTGTATCTAAATTGAGTTTTATTAGGTTATTGTATAATAAATAGTTTTGTCGTACTGTCAAGTTGGAAGGCTTCTAACTGACTGTGAAAAGTAGATTTTCAGTCGTAGTAAGATCTACACTACTGTTCATAAGTATATGGAGACTTGGTCTGTATGAAGAAAACGTGAGGTTTCGTAAAAATGATATATTTTAGGCTACTTTTATTACTTGATAGTAGCATAAGCATTGTCGATCATGCTTTAATATACCCTAAACAATATTTATTTCAGACTTCTAGTGATTTCCTAATGCCTGGTAACATTTACTGTACATTCCTTAAATGTCCTAATATTTACGAACGGGAGTGTACCTGAATCGACACACTCTTGTCACGGAGTTACAAGCTTCCCGATCACATGTTTAGAAATTTTAAGACGATTCAAAGAAAATTCGTTGAGAAACGATATTTATGATGCAGCAACTTTATATATACAATTTTATTTTAACGATAAGGGGTCAAATTGCAGCCCCAAGTAAAAAATAAATGATCGTTCGTATGTGTTGGTTTATAATCGTGTAATATACAATTTTATTAACGAAATATTGCACACTTGTATCACAGTACCTGCACCAAACTTGGACGCAATTTCATTCGAATAATACATAGCGAAAAGCAGCATCTAAGGCAGTCATCCTGAGCTTCAAGCAGTTGATAAGATTAAATAATTGTTAGTCAAATGTCGACCTATTGAAACAAGGATATTATTTTCTTACAAAAAATGGAATATCCACCTTTAAACGATTAAAAATACTTAGATAATATCTAGATAAGGAATTTGCCCATCTCCGACTCGAACGAACCATCCATCCTACATACCACAACCATACGCGTTGTCCGTTGCGTCGTGGGAGCCTTCGAAGAATCAAGCCGGCGAATCTCGACTTCCTGTTACCCAAAGTCCACGGTTATCAGTGACTGTCCCCGATCGTTTCCGCACGGAAGCATTGACTCGATCCGCCGCGGGTGGGGTTCCCCGTGTGCGTATAAAGTCTGGTTGAACCAGCCGATTTTCGTCAGTGGATTCGCCACGAATATCAGAGTAGATTCGGTTCCTTTCCACCTTAAATGCCATTTCCATCGACCATTCTCACCATGGGCCGTTTCTTCTCGATCGTATGCGCCCTCGTTCTTCTTACTTCCGCGACAGGCTGGCCGTTCCAGCGTCGCGACATCCTGGACAACTCGGTGGACAGTCCCGATAGTGTGATCGCCCATTTGCAACACTTTGGAGAGATTCTGTATCGGTTCCCGGACAACGCGACAGGAGCAGCCGTGGCGAACTGGCACGAGGGCTGGGACACCAATCCGGAAGAGTTGGGCAGCTACGCGGAGGGTGACATCCTGTTTCCGGCTCATCTGGAGAAGAATGGCCTAAAGGCGGAATCAGCTCGATGGCCGCGTGGCGTCGTTCCTTATATGATCAGCCCATACTTCAGTAAGCGATATTACGTTTGTTTATTTATATTATCGCTGGAACTGCGTATATTTTAGTCTGTCAGATCGATAATCGCGACAAGGCTTTTGAAAATATTCAAATTCTCGAATTAACCCTGCGTTGTCTACTTTGTCAAACGTGGTTGTCATACTGGGTCAATTTGATCGAAGTCAATATTCAATCAGCTGTTGTTAAATTAACTATTGTTTAATTTAATTAAACTATTTGTTAATTACATCGTAGAAAATTCTGAGATGAAGTCTGAACATCGGAGATTATATTTTCATAGTTACAAATTAACATTGATGGTTTTATCATGTTTAAAGAAATTGTTGAAAGAAAAAAACAAAATTCTGAAAAAAAGGCTTTTTAGGATACCTGAAATTTCTGCTACATGATGTTCGTAGTTACCATTTTCAATGATGCCTCAAAGATATTTTACTTCAAAGTCAAATTCTAGGTCAATCTGACCCACTCTAATAACGGAGGGTTAACCAATTCCTTTATTTTCATATTGTAATGAAAGTAGTGAAAGATCTGAGAAAATACATTACTATAATATTTTAATCGTCATTATGACGGTCTACTGATCAGTCATTTTGACTGCTTTGGTAGTTCTAATGTTAACGTGCGGGGTGGGTTCCGTGTCTTGAGAATGGTTAACGCGGAGAGGGGATGGTATTGATTTTATTTACACGAAATGGCAGATTTTATTGAAAATCAATCCTGATATATCAAAATTTCTGTTTAAGTATACTTTTCTCTTTATATCATTATTCTATTTCATATACTTTACCATATTCTCAGATGAATGACGTCAATTTTACGCGTGTTTGTTTTAGTGGTTTTTAAGTAATTTTTTGTGTGCGGTGCCACCAATTATTTAACAGTAGAATTTGAACAATAATAAAATATAGGCACCTGTTGTTAGCTGTATTTATAGCAGGGCGGTGGACATGTTTCGGTTAACACGTTGAATGCCGTGGGGGTCACCGGCGACCCTCACTCTAGGGAGTATACTTTTTGTTATTAACATTGGACCATAAATCGGTAAACTTCTACAAACTAAATGCTAAAAGTATAACATAGTTGACTTTAACAATTTTATATAACATTTTATTGCACTTAATTCTGTTTTTACACAACTTTGGTCTGACAAAGTTTGAAAACAAATTTAAATTCTCTTTCTGTAAGGTTTCCTTCGACTTAATACGGTCCGACACATTTTTCTTTTTAATAATCATCACTTAATTTTAATTCTAAGAAGAAATATTCTTACTTATTTTTCTAGGAAATTGATCTCGGTTAAAAAAAAATTCTTAATTGGTTTATCGTATTATTTTTACTGATTTCTCTCGTCTGGAGACAATCTTCCATTTTTTCATATGCACGGTGTCTTTTTCACACGGATTTTTCGGGAAAGTATCTATCGTGTAAAAAAAGAATTAAATGTAATTTATTAGGCGTATATAGAAGTGAAGGTCTGTCTCGGTTAAATTGGTATTACGATTTTATTTTGTAATATTGATGGGGAATTTAACTTTCGGTACAAAAATGGCGAAAAATTACAAATATGAAGCAACCATTTCGAGTAACAAATCTACATAGCAATTGTTCAATACTGATATTAATAGGGTTTTGCCGACAAAAAATGATCATTACTTTTGCATACATATTACGAATAATCATAAGAATAAGAAAATTAATCAATTGACAATGTATCGCATAATTTTAAAATATCTTTAAACTATGAGACATTTTTTTTATTATTCTTATGTAATCCTCACGTAGAAAATATTTAAGTTTTGTGGCCAAAGGTATTCGTGATTCGGCATAATGAATCGGCGAGCAGAAGGAGATTTTCTCATTAAATAAAATTTGTTGCAGATGAGAAACAGCGAAAATTGATTTTTGAGGCCATAGACGATTATCACAGATATACGTGCATTAAGTTCAAACCCTATACCGGTGAGGAGAACGATTATATCAGGATCACAGCCGGGGAAACTGGTTGCTGGAGCAGCGTGGGAAGAGTTGGCGGAAGGCAGGACGTGAATTTACAGGTTCCTGGCTGTGTCGTGAAAAAGGGCACGGTGATACACGAATTGATGCACGTTATAGGGTTCTTGCACGAGCAAAGCAGATACGAACGGGACGAGTTCGTTCGGATTCAATGGAATAACATTTTGAACGGTAAGTGTCACGTCAATGACACTTTTAGTGAATAGAATATTTCATTGATATGATCATTGATACTGACTTGATTAAACAATTATTTAGAAATATTCCTTTAAATTCGAAAGAGTATAACATTTTACTGTATAATAAAAATAGTTTAACTTGAAGGATAATGCACAATCTTATTTTAGGTATGTAAAAGTAAAATATTGTTTATAATTTATCATTTGTACTCGAACTGTTTATTCGGAGATGTATTGCACTGCACGTTTTACTTTTTGATTATACTGTTAAATTTCATATTGTAGTACAGAAGTAGGTCTATTATTTCTTTGATTGCAAAATTGAAATTTGCAGATAATATTCGTATGACAAATAATTATTGAGTTACTTTGAGGTATACTTATACCAAAACTTTATAGTACCTGCGTTCTTTCCTAATTGTCCATCGAGGGTACATTTGTAATCTCCTGCTTTAAATAATTACTCCATGTTTGATGGTTGAATCTCATACTATTAAATAAAAATAACTCTTCTTTAGTTCTATACTTTGATACATTCTCTTAGAGTTAATTAAGTCTGTTCAAAGTTCAAAAGCCATAGAAAAACTTTGGAAACTACAATTCTTTCAAATGCAAGGCTTGTCATTTTCCTTTGAGAGAAATTTATTTCGTAAAAAGCAATTGAAATGTCTACGAGAAATGCACATTTGTTCATGGTAATGAGAAATTTTCTCTTGCTTCACTGAATTCCTCAGTCAACATGTTAGATACGGTAATCTGGCATTACCGTCTACTAAAATCAGGTTTTAAGTATTTTATTGAATTTAACACTAGAAACATCAACACTAAATATGTATACTAAATTAATCCATAAAACGTAATACTACAATTTAGTATAATATAATATAAAATGCATAATAAATTCAGAGTCAAGATAAATTTCGATAACTGCAACGTTACGACTTCAAGTAATTGCAAAAGAAATTTGAAATCCGTCGTTTTGACGTGTTTGGTAATTCCAGCGTTAAATGTGCCAGCGGATTAGTGTGTAATAATTGATAAATAAATGTCCAATACTTTGTTTTATCATATCACGCAACGCAAATTCCGAGCGCACGATATTTCGTATGCAATGTGCACCGACTTGACGCCTACTTGGAACTGCTTGGACATTTACTTGTCGCACATTCCTGAATGGTATAAAAATTTTCAAAGTTCACCAGTCATTACCATATCTCTTTATCTATTTAGGGCATGCTGGCAATTTCGAGAAAGCCTCGAGAGAGACCACCGATGCGTTCGGTGTCGGATACGATTACGGGAGCGTAATGCATTATTCCGCGGGTGCGTTTTCCAGGAATGGTCAACCTACTATAATCCCAAAGGTGAGTGATATATATGATTTATATTTATTTATATTTATTCATTTTTTACTGCTGGTTACAAATTGGGTCTCACTTACAATCTTTCTTACATTAAAATTACAATTACAGTAAATCCTAGATAAGTGTTCGAAGGCTCCTCGGCATTGACAAGGAGAAGATCTCAGGTGTAACACTGACTTTTTAATGAAATCTAGCATAGTGATAGAGCTTAGAATTCTCAAGCGAATGATATTTGTTTCAGCTGCATATGGCCATTAATTTATGTAATATTTAATGTTCGGTGCCGTCGAGCCCTTGAACACTCATCGAGGATTATCTGTATACTTATACAGGGTGATTCACCTAACGTTGTCACCTAAATTACTTGTAAATTGTTTGCTATATGAAAAAATGTTTCAAAGAAAAGTTATATTGTATACGGGGGGCACACAGTATAAAAATTAGTCTTTTGTTATTTTGCTTTTTTATTATGATATAAAGGTCACCTTGAGTTATCTTCGATAAAAAAGCAAAATAGCGAAAAATTAATTATTACATTGTATGCCCCCCTTGATACTATTATACATAACTTTTCTCTCAAACATTTTCAACAAGTAATTTAAGTGGCGGCGTTAGTTAAATCACTCTGTATGTTACTTATGTCTAAACTTTCCTTATCACCTTTCTTTGGTATAAAACGTGTCTATGTACTTATCGTTCCTTTGTCCTATGTATTTCCTCTTTATATCTGTTATTTCTGCTATATCTTCTATTCTTATGCTATTATGTTTCATCCACCTCCACTCTTCTGTCCAATGCCTTAAATTCCCTAACCCTTCCTTACATAACACGCATTTCCTTTGTTCTTCCTCTATCCAATACTTATTCTTGTTTTCTACACTATCACACCCCTCTACCCTATAATATCTACACTGTGGGATCGGGACCTCCATACCCAACAAAAGGAGCAATAACACCAATGGACAGAGGGGGGGGGGGGCTCCGTGGATAAGTGCGTAGACTCTACGCGTAGTCTCCGCTTTCGGCGTCGGGGGACGTGGGTTTGGTGTTCCGCTTGGACCCTCATTTTTTCCAACGCTTCTACAATACTGTTCGTTTTATTCCAACCGTTGAATTTTATTAAATTGTCGTTGCAGTTGCACTTCCAAATCCCTCTTTCCTAATATTCCCTCTAGCCCCCCGCCCCCTCGGCTTTTTCCGAGTAATACCACGGTGAGTGATATATTATATTCGAATTATCAAGACTCTCGGCGACCTCCATGATTCAACAATTCAAGGACCCGAAAAATTTGAAGGATGTATGAGTAACAGCATGATTTGTTTCGATATCATATTACATATTACGATCACCATGATTTATTAGAATGTTTTTGGTCCCTATGATTGGGAAGAGAAATTTCTCTCTGAAATTCCACCTTTTTATATTTTGGCCTAATTTTTGACAACCACTATGTTGCACGAGAAAGAAAAATTAAAAGAAAGTACTACGAAAATTTCGTTACAATTATTAACTTAACCCCATTTACTTATGCATAAATCAGGTGCGTTATGCCTGCAGAAACTGGCAGTATCTAAAAAACAAACTTTGTATACTCCCCCTTGCTATATGTACACAATCAAAAATTTGATATTCCTTTTCTTTATAATCTGTTTCTGAATTTTCATAACTACATTAAACGTTCATAAATGTTACGAAAGTAGAATTGTTTTTTATAATCAAGACTTTGATCTATCGAGTTGGACTTTGATCATTCTTCACATTGAAGAATAGTGACACTGATCGTTCTTTCCCGAATCCAGAATTCTTTGGCCATTATTTTCACTGGCCTGCGCCCATTTTTTTCTATTTATTAATCTACAGTTCGATAGCTCTCCCTAAATTCTAACACATGATGCTAAAATCTCAATTTCCATTTAGAATGGACTATGATCGTTTGGCCTTTGAATTCTTCAATTATATTAGTCTTACCATTCAAGACCAAATTTCACAATTGATGATGAGGGAAAACTTTTATGCCACACAAATTTAGTGAAACTAATATACCAAAGTTGAACACAAACGATTTGTATACCATGAACATTTATTAAATTGTTATGATATAATTGTAATATTCCTCAATCATCATCAGACCTGGGCTCATTCTTTCGATCAGGTAGCGTAGACTACAGTTGTGTGCATCATTTGAGCGGAGGGTTGAATCCAACAATAAGAGGGTTACGTGCGGTATTGCAATGACACATTTATCGTCACGTCTACGTTTATAGGTTATATGATTGCCGCTAGGAACAGAAACTCGCTGGCTTCCTATGTTTTATGAGCGATATATTTCAGGGTTCGTCTACGGTACAGCTGGGTCAGAGAGAGGGATTCAGCAAGAGAGACATTCAGAAAATTCGAAAGATGTATAGATGTAGCAAACGCAGGCGAAGCAATCCCTATTAATCGGTTACAACCACCTGGACGGAATTTCAATATTCGTAACTGGCAGTCGATGGAAGGGAGGAGGACCATGGAGAGAATCTAGTCTTTTACGTTTAAGTTCAATAACGACGAAGGAAACTGATATGGATCCGAAAATAATGATGGCAAATGAATTTGTATCAACGTTGGAGGAATTCATATATTCGGAAACCGTTTGTTGTGCGTGTGCGTGTGCGTGTTAAATAACAGTGTTAGATGCATGTTACTTACATTCAGCGTGTAAGGATTTCAATTAATGAATATTATGAATTTGTAGTATTTGTTCAAATATACGTCCAATAAATGCATTATTTAAAATTATATTGCGTGTTTCCTTTTCAGCCTATAAAGATATTTATAGTTTTGATGTATTAGATTATCCTATAAATAATGTGCCTCTTTGATAACCACTTTTAATGGGAATAAACAATTTTTTGTTAATGATTGAGTAATAGTGTTGGATTTTCTTTAATAATAACTCAAAGAATGCCATCCAACTGTACAGACCTAAATCAGAGTTTCCGTCACAAGGTTAATCTTTGAGATTTTCTATAACTAAATTGGTGTACTCTACATATGTTTTTTCTCAATTTTAGTAGCTTTTATAAGTTTAATTTTATGCATATTACATCTCACAATATCAAATTATCATCTTACACAATAATTCACTGTAGGATAAGTGAGCCAATTACGGATGGTGTCCGTATTATGGAGGGTTAACTATTCCTGATAACCAGTTGTGTACAAGTTTCGAGCACATTGCCAGAAATAAATGAGAAAAGTTGCCTAAAAAACCATAGCGATCTGTTTCCGTATTTGACTTAGGTTCTGCAGGCAACGCCAGCTGACAAAATGGTAAAGCAAATTTGCAGATAGTCTTGCAATATGACCTATGTCAATTTATAGCAACTCTTGCATCAAACTTGTAGCCATAACTTTATAACAGGCATTGGACAAAATTTAAAACACTGTATTTATACAACATCTGAAATAATTTTTTTTAATGAAGTTCGGTTTCGCTTTTATTCGGAGAAATTAAAAAATTTAAAATTTAAACTCATTTATTTATTAAGCTTCGTCTGTTAATGTTCAATCTGACAATTTGATTGCAATTCTTCAATTAGTCAACACGAAAGTATTAATAAATCCCATATGCACTAAAGGAAAGATAAATAGTATACTTTTATGCGATAAAATAAAAAGAAATATATACACATATATACTAAATATTATACTTTTAATAAGACGCTCCATAATAGGTGAAATAATTATTGGTCTCGAATAGTTCGCATGCGGCTTGTGAAAAGTTCGCGAATAGTTTGTATACATCCGGCGAACAGGGTGGAACAATAAATAAAACACTGTTCGCAGAGTTTCGGTGGAGACGTCTCAGAGACCTGTATTTGCGAACATACTTCGCGAACACCTCGGAAACTATACGCGAACAGAAGATTCGCAGAAAAAACGACTCGTATACTGTTCGCGAACACCGGTGGAGACGCGTGAAAAGACCAAACTTCTAAATAATTATCTATACTCCGTTCCACGAAAGAAGATACTTGTTCTGCGCAGCTTGTCCCTATGACCTTCCTTAAAGTGGCGGGATCTTCACGGGCTCTGCTGGGGGTACGTTGTAGGGGATGTGTACAGTAGTGACAGAGCCAATGAATTCATGACAGCAGGCGTCCACAGTGCAGAAACTACGGAAATTGATCGGCAATCAAGTACCTTCTCTCGTGTAACAGAGTATATTTAAACTTTTTTTGATAACAAGTTTTTTACAAACGGTGACACCTAAAACCTTTATAACACTATTCAGGGTGATGACCTTGATAACATATTGAAAAATCATTCAAATCGGAGGTGGCTCTCCTATTGTAAATATTTACCTAAACCGTGCACGGATAGTCTCCTTACAACATGTATATGTAAATTGGTAATTCAAGAATATGAAACGTTAAATCGAAGCATTGTAGATACTTGCAAAAGAAAGGTATCAGGATATTAGCGGGTGAGCCACACCTTTGGTACACAATAGTTGTCGGTAAATATCGACTTATTGTCATCTTAAATTGCAAAGCTCTTATTACTTAAGTGTCCCTGATTGCTTCCGCACGGGAGCATCCAGACAATATCTTTATCAGCCACGCCTTTTGTACATTCGCCATTTTGTCTTAACGATTAACCATCACCTTCGGATAAAATTAATTTCATCGTAAAATCAAGGTTATTCACTTTTTCGAATTTAATTTTATCAAGTTATTCCTTAATTAGTTTCATTTTTACCTTACTCAATGACGAAACATTAAAGGCTTTAATTGAAGCTAAACCCCATCAGATTTAACTACGGGCGAAATAAATTGTCCCTGAACAAAAGCACTAAAATGAATTTTCAATGCCACTTTTTTACGCGATCGAATTACACGACTGAATAATGGAGATTGACCTACCACAGGCATTAACGTGTTCATTAGATCTACTACTCTTGTATTTTGCGTCTCCCGCGTTTTATTACTTTCGGAGATATCGGTACAGTAATGTCTCGATGAGTGCGACGGACTCAGATTTGCTTCGGAGCATTCATGGCAAGGCGGAAAGGTTTTTAAATTGTATACTTTCGTATTGCAGTATGTAAAGACAATGGAATTTGTGGTGCAAACAATTAATAAGTTATGATGTATCAAAATTTGGTAATATTTAGTATAACTGAAATACAACAAATATATTCATATGCTTCACGCCTGTTTTTATTTCTAAATACATTTTCTACATTGTCTTTATGCGAAAAATTTGATTTTCTCTTATTACAATAATATTTTCGGTTTTATTTTAATTAACGCTTTAGTATTGTTCTTCTATACTAATTTATACCTGAAGTTGCAGAAAAACTACGTTTAGATTAAATTTATTTATAACTGAAGTATTTCTGCATTCTTCAGTACTATTCTGCCGTATCCTATAAATAAGTGACGATTGCTTATGCTTATATGATTATCTTTATGCTAGGTGTTCCATTATTTCTAGTCTACTTCGAATATTTTAACTAGACTTTTAATGCAATTCTTACGAGTCATCATAAGCTCTTACAATAGAAACATTCGAAACTACCAATATCAAAGTTTAAGAATCATAGATTACAAAACAAGTTTTAAACGTAGAAATTTGTGTGCCTATTAAATATTAAAAATAGTGTAAACTGTATCTATTATTAAGGTATACGCGATACTATTGTCGAACTATTTACAGTAAGTCGTACCCTTTTTCTAAGAAAAGGTTCAAAACTGATGTAGCTACCGTCACTATTTAAATAATCGTATGACACGAAAATTCTTTTTTGTTGTCACATTTTAACAAATTTTCATACGTCTTGTAACATAAATCCGAGAGCTTCGAAAAGTATAATAGGTATTTTACACAAACTATTTTTCCTTATACTACTTTACCATGATCAGCACTATCTTCGATCATCAATTTCTCTTCAAAACATCAAAATACAATGTCAAAATTAAGCCAAATAGATAACAATTCGAAGCTCAATATTCCCAATTAAGTAATTAAATAAAACTCAAATTCTCGTTACTTTCGTAGTTTAAAAACATTTTCCGGTTTCTCTAAACCCCACTACATAGTGGTGTGACGATAAAAAGAATTCTTGGCGTCCATTAAGAATACAATATGTGACATATTCTGGTAAAAAGAGGTTATAGGTAAGAAAAAATTGATTTCAACTTCTTCAATTTTTTTTTATATAATTACAGGTAAGTATGCTTTTTGCAGTGAGACTAACCCAAATTTCCTAGAATGATTACTGACTTCGCAATTCACAATTAAAATCATGTATTAATAATGAAAGTAGACAATTGAATTACATAACTAGTTGTACAAGCTTCACTAATCGAAAATACGGTGGACTACATGTACATACATACTCTGATCAACCTGAACCCTTATGTCAACAACCAATTTTACCTACATTGTTCAATAACCGGGGTACAGCTGTACCCGCGTGGTGATATCATGTTTTAAGGCTGTTTAGGAGTGGTGATTTATTTTTTTCTGATTATACTCGACAGTTGTAGCGGGAAAAAGTGTCAAGAGATTTCAGCTAGATAGGACTTCACAGTGTATTTGTAAAGGACCTTTGAAATAAAGTCACACGGTCGTTTGCTTACTTTCTTCAGCTCAAACTTGCTGTCGCGATTTGAAATTCAACGTAGGATAGTTGTAGAGCATAGAACTGTGGTATTCGAATTTTCTCAGGTCTGTATCTTTGAGGAAAATCCTTAGTTCTTAAGTTTCATTATTTCGCGTGGGAGCGAACGCAATATTAGCGTAAAACAATAGAAGACAGAGTTCAAAATGTACAAGTTATGAGGCATTTTTCTACTACACTTACCATCGAAAGTGTTCGTAGAGCCGTCAATTTTTCAAGCTCAGCAGGAACACCAATTGTTGGATTGTGTCGTACATATTTCTCACAAAGCCGAAATAAAAAAACGTAGGAAAATAAAAAAATCATATTTTGAATGTAAAAAACCCGTTTGCGATGAGTATTCAGTTAACTGTACTTAGAATTCATGAAATAAACAATTATTTTTAATTTTTTGAAGGGATATAAATATTTGTTTTTCTTTATTTTGTAAGCTGCGTCATCCTTAAATGTTACTTCAATTGTTTTTGTACAGCATTTTCGGTAATTATCACATTTACATGTAGGGGTATAACTGTACCCCGGTTATTGTAAATCGACATATGAAGTTTAGCTCGTTATTGTGACTTTTCCTAGGTACGAATTTTTAATTTAAGGACAGAAATCGATAATAAAATCTCTGAATAACGAGGATCTGGCCGGCTGAAAAGATTTTTGTACTAGAACACCCAAAATTTTTAGCAAGAAGGTGAAAATAGGTACAGCTGTACCCGGGTATTCACGTGAAGGTTAAATGAAGTAC